TTTTTTTTTTTTTTTTTTTTTTTTTTTTCATATTAATGCTGTCGTGTTGCTTGCTTTGGTCAGTCATACTACATAAGTAGTTGAATTTTGATTTATAGGTGAAAGGATTCTTTTTGTTCATGTTAAATTCTTGAACAATATCAGCTTTGTTTCTGTTTGAGACTTAGCTCACCTAAAGAAGAAGGCTATATATTTCCATTTAATGACAAACTAACCAATTCTTATGTCTTCACAATGTATGACATTGGAGGGCCTCTTTTTTTTTTTTTTTTCTTTTTTTGTACGGGGTGTAGCTAGTTCGTATGGAGGGCTGAATTCCAGTTATTCTTTCTTTCACGAAATCAAGTCATGTGCGGTTAATTTCAAATTGTGATGGAATGCAACCATCAATTTATCAACTCTAGTAGCTTATGGAGGGAAACACATGGAATGCCATTAATTTAACCCTTCTCTCCATTTTCTTAGTTGTTTCATTGTTTGAAATACTTTAACATTATTTTTTCACACTACCTCATATTGTTACACAATTTGTTAGTTCTAACATTTTAAATTGTTATGATGGGAAGCTTGACTTGTTCTTCTTTTAGAGAAGGTACTTACAGAAAAACTATATTCTTTGTTTAACAATTAAAAGAGTTTTCTTAGCTTTGTTTTCTTTGAGTCCGTTTATTTAATTCTTGCAACTTCAACTAACTGACTTTCATTCCTTGGGGGTCTGCTCATTCCTTGTAGGGTCATTAAGGTTTATTGAATTTCAGTTAGCCATGAGTTTTTGTTTATTTTGGTACATATCATTCATGTCTTTGGAAGAGGTAGGATGATGCCTTTCATTTTGAGGATGTTGATCCGTTGGTTGCAAGCAGTACTATTTTAGTGGTGTTAGGAGGGATCATTGTATTATTATCTATCGCTCTTCCTTTTAGGAGCTTTGAGACCCATAACTACTTATGTTCAATGGAACATTTTCTGTAGAGATTATTGCTATAAATTCAATTAAATTCAGATAGTTTCTATTTAAGTTTTATAGATGACCCATTCCTGCATTGTGCTTGAAATTTTTAGCATGCTGGTGTTTCTAGCCTCATTTGACTCCTGTCTTTGACTGCAATTACAGGCTAGGCTTACTTCATCAGGTTTTCTGATTACCAATTGCCGAAGTTGGAAATTCTCTGATATGTTATAAAATACCTATCTATATTTTAAAAAGTGTCTTGTCCTAAAAAAACAAGTAGATAAAAAAAAGTGATAAATTTCAGGTGTAAAATTTTCAAGAGGGTAAAAGTTCGATTGAATCCTTTGAAAAGAGTGGGAAAATGTTGAGATGAGTTAACCAGAAGAAAAGATATACCTAAATGTCTTGTAGTTCATTGTGCCTTGTTGGCTTATTAGGTGGGCTGGGATTCTGTCAATATAAAATGTCTCAAGTTCTAGGCCATGTGGGTAATGTGGAAAGGGGGTTAGTAAAAAAAGAAGAGAGCAAACTCACTAGAATAAGGGTATGCTCGACTATGGATAAAGTCAGCAGAAGTTTTACTGGTTTGCTTGATTGAACTGGAATGAGGAGAGGACTCGACAAGTGTTGAAGGGAAGTTATGTGCATTCATAACTAAGGAGGACTAGCTATGGCGCTAAGGTATGTTATTGTCTTGTGTTGAAGCCAGCATTGGTGACTACTGTTCCAGTTTTGTTTAAGTGATTTACAATCTATGGTGAGGGGCCTCCAAATATCTCTCATTATGCTGTCTACCCCACCCTTAATCCATCAAGGAAAGTAATTAACCAATACATTGTCGTTGTGTGATGAACACACATTCTATTATAATCACGTGTCAAAAAAATTATTAGTCGTCCAGGATTTACAAGAATGAATATGAAGGAATTAGAGTTACATGGTGGTTGCTTGTCTTCTAGTGAATGGGTGTCCCCTATTGTTATGAATGATTGGGACCCAACTTGGTTCTTTACAAGGTTGATGTGTATAATATGTACTGACTATCATTCATTTCAGTGAATATTTGATATTTTTATGTGAAGAAGATAGCTGAGAGATTGTGTAGAACTTGTGGCAACTGACTTGCTGCTTATATTTCATTTAATAACTTGATTTCCTGAAGAAAATTTCTCCATACAGTAATTATGAATGTGTGTGCTGTATTTTATTGATTAATGTTCTGAGCTTCAACTGGAACAGGTTGACTACTCATGTACCCCAGAAGAAGTACAGCAACATTTCCAGACATGTGGAACTGTAAACAGAATTACTATTCGCACAGATAAGTTCGGGCAGCCGAAGGGTTACGCGTATGTTGAATTCCTTGAGCCTGAAGCTGTTCAAGAGGCTCTTCTTCTGAATGAATCAGAACTACATGGTCGACAGCTGAAGGTTAACTTAATAAATTACTTGATAGTGTTAGTTTAAGATTCTCCTACTGATTTTTTAGGCACATTGTTGGACAAAACTGAATTTATATGTTTTAGGTAACTGCCAAGAGGACAAACATACCTGGGATGAAGCAGTATCGTCCACGCCGACCCAACTCATTTATGGGTGCTCAATCCAGGAGCCCATATGTTGCTGCTCCTTATTTCTTCGCACCATATGGATATGGGTATGATTATTCAATACAAATTTCCCAAGCTCACAGCTTGAATCTTTAACTCTCTTGTCATTTAGCATAGTTCTCTACCTGTTGCAGGAAAGTTCCGAGGTTCAGAATGCCAACGCGTTACGGCCCCTACTATTGAATGCTAATTTTGTTCAAGACATTGTTGAATTAGAGATATCACACTTAAATGTCTGCATGCCCTTTTCTTTATTTATTATGATGGAAATTGATGTTTGGATAAAATCGAAATGGAGTGTGAGCGAGCACGATGCAGGTTCAATCACTAGAACAAAGCTCTACCATGCGCAGCCATTACTATGTAAAGACAAAGGCTTCTCTGGACTCGCTGCAGGTAAGCTTGTAAGATTTAAGTATTCACCTTGGAATTGTGCATCGAGTTTGAAGATGACGATGCAACAAAATGCATACTGAACAGTTTATATATTTAGTGCTTGCTGCTATTTTTATTTAATTCTGTGTCGAGATTTATTGACTTTTGTTTGCCCCATCTGCTCCGTCAGTTGTGAAGTTCGTTCTTGTTTGAAGAACAATAATCGAGGGATCGAACCGGTGAGTAATCCCCCTAAGTGTCATTTTTTGATTGGTTGCTTTCTCTGAGTTTACTTACTTGAACATAGTTCCAGATTTTAGTATTAGCATTCTTGTTTCTTCATAGATTGTAAGTTTTTATTTGTTTTCTTTATGATTCTATTTCATTTCCTTCCCGCTTATGTAATGCAATAATATTTTTTTTATTAAATTATTTATTTTATAAAATAAATAAATAAAGCTTGAAGGGTCCCTTTTCCCATCCCTGAGCTTTCCCGGCCTTCATTTAATTTTTGGTTAAGCGTAAAGCCATTCTTGTGTATTTTAGAGGATATCTTAAGATAAACATAATATTCCTAAATAATTTCTGAAAAAACAAAATCGAGCTTATTACTTCTACTATAAAGGTTTTCTAAATTTTTTAATCACTATAGTAATTTATGTTATGTAAATAGCAAATATATTTATAATAATATATGTAGTTTCAATTTGGTGTTAACTATCTTTTAAGAAATAGATTAAAATATATTTTTAAAAATTTCCCAAATTTTGTTTTGATTCTAAAAATCTTATTTCTTTTAATAATTGTAATATTTCATATCTCATCCAAACATCATTGTTTTTGTTTGATGTTTTAATTGATTTTTAGTTCAAGGATTCGTTTCGTAATGTTTATAAATGGGTTTTTTTTTTTTAAATAATAAAAAAAAATAGAAGAAAAATTTCATGGGTGTTTTTAATAATTCATCATAAAAAGTATATGATTTGCTCACATACAAAAACGCTACTGTGATAATAATATTTATGTATGCATAGAAAATTGCATATTTGAATTAATGTTACCTGGTGGTTTTTATCTTTTTTATGTATAAATTAATTAAACATTTGTCAAGTTCTAAAAATAAATTTAAATTTATAAGAACAAACTTTTTTTTTAGTTTTTAAAACATTGTTTGGATTTTGGTTAATTTATATGGTAGTTTTATTTAATTAAGAAACGTAATTAAAAGGTGTTTTAAATTAGAGACATAATCGAATTGAAAGTTTAGAATAAAGGTGTTTTAAATGCTGTGTTCCCACCAAATTTAAACGCAATTATTCCATAACCTCTTTTATCACATATTTAATGTTAGCCTTAAAATTAGATATATATATATATATTCCCTTCTTTTTCCTCCTCTATTCCCATCATTACTTATTCCCATTACCAAACACCCCCAAATCCTCCACATTTGGGAAAACAACAAATACAAAATGCAACCTAATGATTATAGCTTCTTTCTCTTTATTTAATTTTTTTTTTCTCCTTTTCATTTAAATAAAGCCTACATTATGTATTTATTTCCTTCCTCCCATTTTTCCCCCCTCCATTTTCCAAACAGAAATTTACACGTCAGCGCCCGAAACGACAACGTTTTATCCGTCTCCCCAACCATACGGCAAGCAAACCCATTTTCCTGGATTACATTTTTGTACACTCTGGCCACGTATCCTCCATCAGCCACGTCACACCAGAGTCTTGCACGTAGACGACTGAGGGTCCCACATCGCTGGAAGAAGAAACCTCCGTCCATTAGCACCGTAGGCATTGAAACTAGCTCCTGTGACCTTGTCGACCAGAACCTGACCCGGATAACCCGGGTACGCTCCGGACCCGAACAGACCAGTGCAGGCCGATACTGCCTCCAGCGGCGCCGTCGGCGGGCCCTGGAAGTAACCATCGTTGAAAGGATTTGTCACAGTACCGGCTAGGACGGTGGCCAAATTGATGATTATCCCGTCGATACCAACGTCACCGTTCGGGGCGATCAACGGCGGCGTCTGAGGGCCATAAATGGGCTGATGAAACGGCCAAGCACAGTACCCAGGGCACTGAGTTTCTGAGTTTCCGACCCACACGTAAGCGGTTCGGGCCCTGCTCCGACCCACATGAACCCATCCATGCGTGCCACACCGACTCCGGCAGAACCCATCAACGGCAACATCCTTCGCCGTTAGCACCACGTTCACCGAATTCAACTGATTCACCTTCCCCACCAATGCCCGAAGATGCAGGTCCTTCAAATACTTCCCCAAAGTGTAATCCTCATCAAGAATCTGCTTCCCGACGACGAGATTCGACGACCCACCCTTGTATTTCTCCGTCGTCTTCCACCAGAGATCCGCCGATGGCGCCGGCGCTTGAGAATAGCTCAAAGATTGAATGAAATCGATAATTACAGAGCGCTGCGAGGGTGTAAATTGGCCGTACCAGATCAAATTGACGGTGATATCCCCTTTCAAAAGAGCCCCCTTGTGGTATTCAAGTACCAGTGGCTGTTGCTCTACCAGCGCCGCGAGTTTCCGACCAAGACCACGGTCGGCAGCGACAGAGAGAAAAAACAGAGTGAAACAGAGAAGGGCAAGATGGAAAATAGAAGCCATGAGTGAGGGCAAAGTTGGAACAAGGAAATAGACTTTTGGAATTTGGAGCTTTGTGAGTGTTTGGTTTCGAGTTTAGGGGGGAAAGTAATGGTGTGAGTTATTTATAGGACAAGAATTTTGGATATGAACAAAGAAGACAGCTGTATGAGGAGCACACGTGGAGGTGTTTGATTGGCCTGTGAGATTAGTCCAAAACTTGATTACGGGCGGTGACGGGAGATTTTTCGGTGCGTGAGCCTCACGTGCCTTCCAAATCCCGTTAACGAATCTGACGTGGCGTCGGACGTGGTGGTGATACGACCCCTCCGCTTCCCTCTTGTGCCTCAGCAATTCGCCCACGTGCCTTCTTCACTTATTCTTTATTTGCCTTACAATTCTTTTTTTCTTTTTTGTTTTTTTTTTCTATATTTCTTGGCTTTTTATTTTTCAAAATGTTTTTGGTATGTTTATAAAATAAACTCAACTTGTCTCATAAATTTATAATTTTCATATTTTTTTAATCTAATTTCAAATTTGCCGTTTGGAGAAGCGTCTCAGCGACAAATTAGACACAAATCCCTTGGAAGAGGTTGCTAGAGAGAGTGAGAGCCGGGTCGTGTCTGAACCCTCTCACACCACGAGGTGCTATCAATGAGTTGGGTTGTTTGGGATTGTAGCTTAAATCGGGATGGAAAATTCTATCCAATGCTAAATATGAGGAAGAGAACAATAGTATTGCTAGTAAAGGATGAAAATGACTTCGAAAAGAGAGTCAAACCGTGCTTGAAATTGGAAGATGGTGAATAATAAAGTTCATATATATATAATTTCTAATTATAAACTCCATTCATTTATGTTTAATACAACTTTATTTTCTTCAAATTCAATAAAAAAAATATATTATTTTAAAATTTTGGATAATGGGGAGAAGTGGGAATGCGTAGGTGGGGGAAGGTCCAGAGGCAATGAGAATGGAGGCGCAATGTTTGACCGTTGATTCCACTACACGCCAAAGTGGATGGGCGGCTCCGCTTCCATTCCCCGATAAACAGTAGCTTTCGGCCGCCACCACTGTGGGTGGCGGTGCCGACCCACTCAATATTCCCTTCACAGCCTCATTTCTTAGGTGGGATCCCTTTTTATTTATTAATTACTATTATTATTATTATTATTATTATTATTATTATTATTCGAAATCTTTAGTTTAACGAGTTTTTTAAATTATGTTAATATATATTTTTCTTTACATTATTTATTAAAAACACTATAAAATTGGTTGAAATAAATGTCTAATATTCAAATGTTAAAATAAAACATTTAAAAAGTATATAAATTCCAAAAAATTGAATTTTCAAAAAGTTGAAATTTGTCATTTTCGAAAGTTGAATGAAGAGGAGTCTATGAAGGAATGAATGCACGAGTACTTAATACCAATTTTTTTTTTTTATTCAAATATTTATTTATGAAAAAACCCCACCAAATGAAATTTTAAATTTCCAAGAATTTCTCTGCAATATTTAATTTTGCAAATCTTCAATTTTTTTTATTTTTTATTTTTTTATAGTATGGTGTGCGACAACGAGCGATCAAGAGCAAGCATGTAATTTGATGGTTGTGAGTGATAACAAGAGTAGCATGGTGAGCGAGGGGTGGTGTGACATGAACATGGGCGTGCAATGCGGCAGCTGGGACGGATAGCAAGAGCAGAGTGGCGAGCAAGCGACGTGGTGGCGTACAACTATGAGGGGTGATGCAACATGTGTGGGCATGCGATGTAGTGATTGTGACCGAGAGCAAGAGCAGTGTGCGGCTACGAGGAGTGGTGCAACGTGGGTGTGGGATGTGGATGCACCATAACGTCCAATCTAAACAAAGTGGGTTGGGCGAACAGGCGACATCAATAGTAAGAAAACCCGAATGTGAAACTTTAAACAGTAGGTCAGATGTGCGGTTTGGCTCGATCTTACTTGAATTTTTTTCCTTAGGCCTGAAAATCGAACCAATTCGGTTCCAAAAGAATAACCGATCCAACCCAATCCAACCCAACTCAAAATGCTAATTTACTTCCGATTTTAATTATTTATGTATATACATATATTAAGAATTATATTTATGATAATATATTAAATGAATGAAGAAAATAAAATTCGAACTATATCTCACAAAATGAAACAATAATATCCTTTTATTGTGTTGGATAAATAATTGGCCCTAAAACATTCATCATCAAAAAAAAAAAAAAAAAAAAAAAAAAAAAAAAAAAAAAAAAAAAAAAAAAAAAAAAAAAAAAAAAAAAAAAAAAAAAAAAAAAAAAAAAAAAAAAAACACATTAATATTCAAATAAGAGAGGCAAGTGGACACATATTTATGATTGGAAAATGTAAATATAAATAAAATGTAATTATTTATTAATAAATTCATTATACCAAACTCGTTTTTATAATGAAAAAGACGTTATACATATCTCGAACGAAAATCCATTTAATCCCATTATTTTCACGGGAATATCGTGCTGGTCAAGTTGATTAAACTTTTGTTTTGTTTAATTTAATATGCACAAATCTAACGACAATAAATCTCGTTAAACAACATTAAAAGATCATGTTAAAATCTAAAATACCCTAATTAAACGATTCTAAATATATTACGTTCGTTATAAAATAAAATAAAAAAGACGAGAACTATTAACAGGTTGTCACATTAAGTTATGGTTTTAGAAAGATTGAATAAATGTAAATTTTGTGGCCATTAATAATTGAATTTAGAATTATGTTAGCTTAGTCGTCGTCCATGTAATTTGAGACACTAATGATGTTGAAACGACAAGAATCTGGCTGTCGTCCCACTTGCTTTAGCCCAAAGCTAAGCTATCTTAGCAGCTGTCCATGAATCATACATAGCTTTGGCCATATCCAACAATATTATTAATTTTCAAGAGAAATTTATTGAAAAATTAATTTGTTAAAAAAACAAACATTTTTTTCATTGCCTGGGAAGCTTTGCCCTCTCGGTTCACATGGTTCGTGATCCCATTTTTTTATTATGTGAAGAGAGAGGTTCGATGGAGCAATGGTGCATGTTTGAGGGTCGTCTCGGGTTTCCATCGACGCTTTTCTATATCTAAATGAAATTTTTAATATTTGTTGGGTCATAGCTAGAAACTTAGGTTCTGAAAGCAGGTAGTCAAGTCAACTATCTTTAATGAGCTTTACTTGTTAAAGAGTCAAAGAAATGTTTTCAAGTTTTCAATTCAACGGTAAAACGAAAGCACTCTAGACTGTCACAAATGAATGTCGGGGCATTTGTCGTTACAGTTCTATTTACTCTAATTTACAACATATTGAGTGAAATTCGAACCTTTGACCTATTAACTAATGATAATGTCCGATACGTCAACAAGTGGACAACTTGTAATTTAGTTACAACTGAAATTATGAATAATTAGTTTGATGGGATAAATACATTTTAATTTTCCAACTTGGTTGACCTATTTAGTCAACTCTAATGATGTGTCCAATTTCAACTATAATTTAATGATACACTTGGTGGAGTACAATCTTCAATTGACTTCTATTATTCTATTATTATTATTTGCATTCAAATGCCTTCAGAATCTATCTTTGAACTTAGATTTCTATTTTTTTATTTTTAAATTTATATTTTTAATGTAATTATATAACTAATAAATTAAAATTATTTTGATTAATGACTAGTCAAAACCAAGTTTTGACGGGGAGTTATATGCAGTAAATTTTTGTGGTTAAGGGAAGTTATATGCAGTAAACATTTGTTGTCATTTTCCTTACATCAAATATTGCTTTCAAAACTCTCTTTTGAAATCTCTATACTCCGTTTTCTAAAACTTTCTACCGAAGCCACTTATAGTTGGGAAGTGAGTGTCGCACAATCATAAGTCCACCGCCATCCAACATAATATTTTCAATCATAGAACATGGGCATCTCATCCGCCTGAACGTTGACATAAAATTCAAAATCAAGTTCAAAACCTTCAACATAAGCAGATCGTTCATAAGCAGATCAAGAACGAAAAAAATAAAGATGTAATCACTTTAATATCTATAGTTTAAAAGAATTTTCAATACAAGCGAATAATTAAAAATCAGACATACTTAATAATTCTATATTTTAAAAAGATTCTAATAGAATCCAAAACATATACATTTGAATCTAACAACTGTCATACGGCTACAGAGAATCTCAAAAACTAGCCATGTATTTTTGAACCAAAACTTGGCTACCTTTTTTATCAAACAAACACTAATAATAGGAGAGGAGAGTTGATTCATCTGGCTGACGGCTCCCCGTTCTTTTTTCTTTTTTTCTTTTTTGTTTCCAGAACTTCGAACTCTACTATCAGGCACACATAAGGGGGGCCAAGGAATTGAATTTTTTTTCGAAAAAAAATTGGACGACTTGGAACAAATCTGCAGGAAGAATATCTAGCAACGTCACGAGGGGGCGTTTGTGTCAGCGGTGGACACTAAGGATTTCCATTAGCTCCACTGGTTGAACTTGAAACCAAATGAATGTGATGGCTTAATGTTTCGTTTTTGACTGGCTATGCACATCGAGTTACTACAGATCAATTTTAGGATAGAGGCTCGGCATGAACGCTCGACCGTTCCCATTAGAATCTGGATTGCCATACAATGGAACTTGAAGCTCCCCCGAGTACGATGACTTTCGGGGCTTCAGATTCTTAGGAGAAGGAGAGTATGAATCGTTTGAACTGCTGGTAGAATACGTAGATGATGTTGGCATTCCTTGCATCCTCGGTAATCCAGTTGGATCAGCACCCACGTTATATCCTCTTTCAACTGAGTCTGCTTCCAAAGGTAGTTCATCCAATGTCTACAAAAAGAAGGCAAGAGCGTCGTATTTATTTCAGCTTTGGAGAATGCGTTGAGAGGTATGCACAAAGTATATGATTTCCCCAATTCACCATCATTTGTAAATTGTTGCAGTGTGACTGGAAAATCATACATACCCGAAAAGCCTGTTGTAGAACTCGGAGGGTATCTCGTGTGCGCTTCCTCTTCATTGCCACCTCATCAGGTTCCTGCAACATCTCTTCAAACAGGTTTTCTCTTTTTTTTTTCCAACATCAAAATCAAAGCATTAGTGTAGATCAAAACAATGATAACTTACAAACGAATAATTTCAAATCTTACTTACCTATAAACTTTTTTGATGAAGACATTGTGCAGCTCCCGTTTGGTATGATGAACCTGGATTGAAGTCAATCAGAAACAAGCTACAAGCATTGTTGAATGCTGACAGATACATAAAATTATTTCTTAAACTTAAAAGATGGTTTAGTCTAATTTTCTTCGAACAATCGACAAAGAATGACTGAAGGCGATGGAGTAAAATGTTTAATCAGGAATAGGTCAAGACGCAGAGCAGAGCAGATAGCATGTTTGTCATCAACGTAGAGTTACTGTGAGACATAGACCAGATTTTTATTAGAACTGAGTGTTGGCCGCACATACAGACCATCCACCATCACGTGACACAAAATTTCATGAATTATATTTGGTGGATTGTGGAGAATTATAGGATACTGAAGAGAAAAAAAAATCTGCTGAAAAGATCAAAAATTAAGTTTAAGCGAACAGCAATCAAGATCAAATACATGCAACAGTAAACACTCCATTTATTCAAATTCCTTCAGTAGTAATGAATCACAATTGTTGCATAAAGCTATACATTACCAGGAAATGCATGATTGCTTTAGGAACATAATCCTCTATATTCTTCCTGACAATGTCATAATATGATCTCAAGAGCATTTTTATGACTGCAATTTCAATAATCTCCTGGTCTGAATGCCCTTCTGAAGGTCTCAGTACAGTTGGAGGCTTCAACAAAATAAAACACATTATTTAGATTAAAATATTGGAACACGTTGACCGACTTCAACTATGAAGCCAAAACATTACCTCTCTCAAATGGATCATGGAGAAGGCCTGCTCTGTGTTAAGAACAGGTTCATTATATGGCTTGCTTGCTGAATTTTCTTTGACAGATGTCCGGTTTTCATTCACACCAAAAATAGATGATATCCCCCAACTTGAACTTTCTTTCACAGATGTCCGGTTATCATTCGTACCTGATTGTAAGCTAGAATTAGAAATAGTTTCATACGAAGGCAAACACATAGTTTGACAAACTTAAGCTTGAGCAGGATTAAAACTTCAAAACTAAATTCAGACGGAAAATTTGCTTGGCGGACCAGAATTTCATGTATTAGGTAAGTCCAGGTTGTCCGTATTAGCTCAATTGAAGAAAACATGACTTGTATGAATTTTATTTTACGCAATTAATTTCATTTCAGATAAAAAACAATAAGCCAATCCTTAAGCATAAAAGTGAAATTAGTCCAGCTTTATATTTGTTCTATGCATGATTGCAAATTTGTTATGAATAATCCAGATTGATTTTTCATTGTAATGCTACAACTTTACTTGAGAACAGGATCTTTTCAACAGGTTGTACAGCAACTGTCTTTGAGTTCTATCCTCGAGTTCTAAAGATTTTTCATGGTAATGCTTTCCACATCCATAGATTTCAATTAATACCATTTTCCTTTTCAACCAATTAAAAAGTTATGCATCCTTACAATTTTAAACTGTGTATTCAACTGTAGGTGTACAATACTTCTAAGGCCCATCCAAAGCTACTTATCCAGGTCATTCATATCTACAAAATTTCATGAAGATTACTACTTCTGTTCCAAATTCCTTAAACACTTGAGCTGACAAACACTATCAGGTTACAGGCTGGAAAACCTAGCCCTAAGTTGGTCTGGGGTCCTGGAGAGATTTACATCTCAATTTCCTCCTAAAATGAGTGTCTAACTGTACACATTCATATACTCAAAGAGCATTATATAACACGAGGCTTGCTACTCAATTATTAGCACTACAATTTGGCAGCCAAGCAAGATATAAGAGAAATAAACAGGTCTCACACATAATGTAGTGTTTCTTTCCCTAGGATTTCTCAAAACAATAACATACCAGAAGGTGCAACTTTTTCACCATCACCTGAAGGTCGAGCACCCTGTTAATGATCTGGTCAGTATAAACTCAATCACAAGAACATCAATCCGACAAGGGCCTTAATTTAAAATTTAAACTTCAACCTATCGTGGCCATATTGTACAACCATGAAAGAAAAATTTAGAACTAAACATCTGTCAATGTTGTCTCCGCGAATCATTCTATGATCAAGTGCTCATACCTTCTCAGTCAAGAAACCATTTGAATGTCGGGCAAGTAGAGCTCGGGACTTTGAAGTTTTCTCAGATGGCGGTGCTTTATCAGGTTCAACCACGCCATCCTAATCGACAATGGTTATGAATAAAGATAAAGACAGACCAGTTATTTAAATGATTAAAAACATGTTATTCTAATAGGAATGGGTTATATAACAGGAGGCTTTCTACTAAACCTTCTGCCTTGAAACAGTCAAAGGAACCCTAGAAGACTTGACCTGCTGCAGGGCATTCTCCACGGCCTTACTTCCTCCAATAAAATTTGGGTGTGAGGTGTTTATGTAGTCCATCTGCACATTATTGATAGTTATATACTTTATAAAACAGCTACGTTGAATTGAAAGTTCATTCTAATCAAACTTGACTAAAATCACAAATAATGTGCGCATTCCAAAACTAAATCTAGATATTCTCTCTGATATTGCATGTGGCATAGTCACTTGATAGAATATAGATTTGCCATCAACTATAAGGAAGATTCTACATTAAAGCCGATTGACATCTACTGTTAGTATTTCTTTCACCAATATTTATAAAGCATCAATTTCAAAACATCTAAAGAGTTCGGTAATCCACTATGGAACACTAATACAAATTTTAAAGGGACAAAACAAAAGGAACAATAGCAAAAGTGTACACAAGTTTATAACCTACCTCCATTTCAATAATATGTCCTATCATTGTTTCAGAGGGTTCAAGACCTTCTCGCAAAAAGTTCCCAATAACTTCATCCATACGCTTTCTCAGAACAGGAAACCTTTGCAATTCATTTGTCATACACCGATGACTGATCTGAAAATATAAATTACATTAAAATTTTATTTACAGATAACGGGCAGCAAAAATACAGGGAAAATATAATTATCCCTACCTTTACCAACTCATCATATATAAACCTGGCACACTGAAGACTGGGGTCTAGTAAGCGAACAATTTGCCTACGAACAAGAACTTCAAATGGCACCTGCATAAGTGAAATACCATATCAGTTGATCCCAACCTCCATCATGTGACAGATTAGTAGTACAGGACTTTACAAGAGAGACAGCACAAGAGAAAGCAAACAGAGTAAGACTTACTTCCGGTACAAATAATGCAGATCTGGGGCCAGTTGCATTTTGGATGGCAGTACGAATGTCATCATCAGTCAAGTCCTCGCATGGATCCACTTCCTGCACAAAAACATATTATTATTTCAAATCTTTTTTTTTCAATGGAAACTCAAACTGTCATGGAGAAAAATGAAAGAATATACATAGACATACAAAAAATAATAGCTATGGGCAGTGCATATAAAAAATATGCCCAACAAAAAGAGTCCAATAAACTGCGGGGAGGGACTCTAATCCAAGAATAGTACCTAACTAGTAATTACAAAAACAAAAACAAAACAAAAAAAAAACCTTTGAATCAGAAGCCCACAAAGATGTATTAAGCCTAATGTTCTTTTACATGCAAGTAGTTCAGAATTATCACTTAAATGCTATTGTTCCATAACTTGCAAACCTAAATCAAGTGTCAAATTGCAAATCACCTTATGCACCACTCCCGTCAATAAAAATCTAATCAAAATTACAATTCAACATGATATATAAGCCTATAATCGCAAATTGTTTGCAATAGCCTTTCTGGTTAACTATAGTTCAGTTGTCAAGTTCATGCCATTTTCAATCTAATCCGTTGTCTACTAATTAGAATCTTCAAGTGCCAAAGATTTGTAATCCAACTTTATTTTTCCAGATTGAAGAGACACATCAATGCTGGTCCCCAGGGTAGGATTCAAATATCACACAACTTTATTAACAATAATATCAAGCAAAAGCAAAAAAATGCACATACAAAATGCCCCATGGAGAATTAAGGGGAAAAAACTACTGTATGCAAACAAATTAAAAGTGAATTGTATATAATAACAAAGATACAGACCTCTAAACTCTTCACAAAGATTGATTGGAAAATATAGTGAATGCGAGCACCACCTGAGAGCTCATGCGTTGACATTTCTTCATTCTTTCCCTCAACCATAGAACAAAATGCTGTTTTGAACAACAAACAAAAGAAAAGAGAGAGAGAAACAGAAGTAGGATCACTCTGAGACTGTGTAAACATAAACCAGACATGTAATGCATAGCTTATAAGTTATACTTATTAAAATGCATGCACAAAAGAGCTTTAACGAAGATTCCTCCTTATTTATCAATGAAAGACCGATTCTTGTTGAAAACAAATGCATGCACAAAAGAAGAGTAATTATTACCTTCACAATATTTTGAAAGAATATTGAGAAGAAGAGCACCCTGACCAGCCTATCCACGACCAAAGGTTGAATATAATAAGTCAACATAATCAAGAAAAAACAAAGAAAAGCCATACGTAAACTATACTACAATACACAACTTGATAACATGAACATACAAATGGAATGCAATTAGCTTTCTACATCATTTTGCAGAAGTAACAACAAGGTGTCCTTATTGATGTCCATTCCATATAAGAAATTATGACAGGAGAATGTATGATTGATGAATGAGCAAGCTACCAGACCACATAACTATGCAATATATTTGACTTGAATCAATAGGAATATGTAGGGGTAAAAGAAATTTTGAGAACCTTCGATTCTGTTATTTCTCCATAACTGGCATGCTCCTTCGCTACGGAAATCAAAGAAGAACTTATTCTTGACTTCAGCCCAGGAAGTACAGTTCTAATATGTTGTACTAGCACCTATAAATAAAATTAGTGTCAAACAATATTATTATAGCTTAAAATCATCACTTCCAGTTGTGAGCTAAAAGTGTAATACAATCAGACTCAAACATACATACACACATACCTGGTTCAACTTTTTTGCCAACTGAGCAACACCACATCGATCAGCTAGGCCATTGTACACCTGTACAATTCAATGCCAAGTAAAGAACAAATGTATATGTCTCTACTAGAAACTTATGTTGAGCTTTGTTATAAATAGATCATACTGGATGGGTGCGGAAAAATTTCTCCTCATCCATAAGGGCATCTTTAATACTCCGATTCAGTAAAATATCCTGTTTAGTGGCCAATTAAAAAGCTCCAATCAGTATAAAACATTGCAACCATGGTGAAATTAAGAATTCAAGCAAGACTGTACAGCTTGAAGAAGAATTAACCACCATATACCACAACCCTCATAAACTTTATGCTCACCTCCTGACTGCGATTGACAACCCCTACATAACCAAGTCGTAGAGGGATCACTTTTCCTTGTAATAGATTTCGTGCATCTGTACCTCTATCCATTATATCCAGCTGCAGTTTCAATTTGTAGAATAGAGCAAACAAAATCAGAATGTGGATTGTGCCTTGAAAGTATTAAAAAAAAAAAACAGATTGACCATACGGTATATCACCTTTGTTATTACACCAATAGTTCTTATGCCTGTAATTAGACACAAGCAAAAGTATTAAAAAAGGATCGAATACATGTTGATGAGATAAGTCAACTCATTAAAGATGTTATAAAGCAGAGCTTCACCATCAGGATCAGCATTTCCTGCAATCTGAAGAGCATCAGAATTAGCTAAATCAGAATTTGCTGCTGTCACAGCGAGAATCAAGCAGCTTGGAACTTTGATGTAAGACATGATCATTGTCCTGATTCGTGCTTCAATGTCAGAAGGCTGGTCTCCAACTGGAACTTTTGTAATGCCAGGCAAATCCACAAGTGTAATGTCAAGAACATTTGGGGAGAAAATCTTTAACCGAATCTGCTTGTCCGAGACACCTTTGTTTCCGCCAGCTTCCCTATCAGTCTCAGACTATACAATATTGCCAAAAACGTATTAGGCACAACAAAAACCACTTATTTCATCCCTCTCGAAAAGGGAAATTGAACAAAAAAAAAACATCCCTACTTAATTAATAAAATTGAAATAGAATCAAACGATACACAATATCCAAACCCATTCTCTTCTACTGCACGTCCAGATAAATATGACCTTGGAAACGATAAACAATCAGCCATAGTCGCTGACGTTCATTGAACGACTTGACAATGATAAGAAACCTGATGACTAAAAAGTCAATGGAAGCGAATTTTATTCGAGAGGAATCTCATCTAATTTATGGCCGAGATTGATGAGAAAATGAGCAGAAGCAAATTGAAATCTACACCAGTCACCACGCTTCAACAGACATGAAATGCTCTACCATCGGACAGTTACTTCCAGATCGAAACGCAGGCTAAACTAAGCAGCAAAAATGGCAGAAATCTCACCTGAATTTCCCTTCGAATCTCAGAAAAATCGTAGAACCTCTTCCCCGGCAAGTGGAGGAACTCGCCGTATTCCTCTTCAGTCTTCGTCTGCAATAGCTGAAGCACCAGTGGCCTCCTGGTGCATATTTCAGAACCTCTAGGCAAGAAATCCCGACCAACGAGAGCCTCAAGTACGCTGGATTTTCCGCTACTCTGACTTCCGACAACAGCGACCTGCGGGAGCTCGATAGTGGATTGGCTTCCAAGTTGAGCGAATATGTCCTGAAGCTTGTTAACTATTGGTATGACGGAGCTGCCAAGGGGAGCAGCGGAGGACGAAACTGAGGGCGTAGATTGAGGAACAGTCTCGTCCGCCATGAAAGAAGAAGAAGAAGAAACCGACGGGAAGCGGATCGGAGAGGAGAGCGAGGGTTTTGAATTTCGCTGAGAGAGGGAGAGAGGTGGAAGAAGGGTTTCTAGGTTTGAAAGCTTTGGATTCACGACTGTAACTGATGTGAGATGCTCACAAATTTAAGTTTCATTTTACTTTATATATTTTCAATAATTAAATGTGGTCTCTATTATTATTTCAAATTATATAAAACTAAATTTTTAAATTTTTAAATATTGAGAATAAATAAAATAAAATAGGTAAAATTACAATTTTGGGATCGGATTAAGGAATTTTTACTTAAATTAATGTTTTAAAAATAAATATATTTTTTAAAAAAATTTAGGTGACTTCACACTTTTTAAATTTTCAACCAAATATTTTATTTGGATTCTATTCAGAAAAATTGGTTATATATTTTTTTTATTATTATTATTATGTTTTTTTTTTTTTTTTTTTTTTTTTTTTTTTTTTTTTTTTTTTTTTTTTTTTTTTTTTTTTTTTTTTTTTTTTTTTTTTTTTTTTTTTTTTTTTTTTTTTTTTTTTTTTTTGTATTAGCTTGGGTTGAGTCGAAATAAAAGTTTTTTTGGACCAACCTAAAATCTCCCGATGCCACTCGACTCTATTAATGATGGCAACCCAACTCAACCTATATATTTTTGGGTTGGGTCGGTTTGGTCGTCGGGTTATACAAAAGATGAACCCTGGCCCTATAATTTCATAAACACAAAAATATACCGTACTCCTATTACGTATACCGGAAATTAGATCGTAGAAAATTAATAGAAAAACTTATTTATTACGTTGAAATCTTAAATTTTATTGATCATTGTTTGATGATCGTGTTACTTATATTAATTTTTGTTCGAGATGAATCAATACTACTTTATATGAAGTATAGTTTGAGAAAGATTAGATTTATCTAAACGATCTAAACACGGGGTTAGTTTCGAAAACTTCAAGTTATTTAAACTCGAACCCATAAACGAAATGCAACCTTATTTTTTAAAGTCGATAATAGGTCTAGATAAGTCTTGAATAGACGGTTTTAAGTCCATATTTACATTATTAAAAAAAATTCCAATTTTGTCCCCAAAATCAAAACCCACCCTTGAGAAAGTTGATGCAAAGCCTCTTCCATGCTTCCCTATCTGCTTCACCTTCTTCCACGTTACTCCTCAGCTCCTCACCATAGGTATCCTATGCCCAAAAGATAACATTATCAAATTTTGAAACTATACGACATCTCCAACTGTTAACGGACTTACCGTAATGAGCTCTTTAAGAACGAGACGGTCAATCAAGTGTAGAAGAATGTCTTTAGTGTACTCGGGATGACCCTGAATCCCTAAAATATGATCTCCATATTTGAACATCTCTATACTGTACTTATCTGACCATCCAATCACTTCAGCCTTACTAGGAAGTTCGTAAATCTACAACAACCATATATCATGTCTCGTCACAACATTTAAAATATATTTTTTTAAACGAAATTCATTTTCATATATTAAAAATTATTATTAAGTCAAAACACTTTTTAAAATATAAAGAATTAAAAATAATTGTTTATTTTAAGTAAATATCATAAATTATGTTTTAACCATACGAACCTCATCCCGATGGCATTCGATCACAGAGAGAGCGGTTGGTATTTTGAGAGATGAGAACAGCTTGTGAGATGATGCCACGTGGACGGTTGTGAATCCAATGTCCCATCCAGATCTACCCCTGCCCGTTTTTCCGCCCAAAGCACGTCCCAGTATCTATATAAATTACCAACCCATTAAACAAAATTTATTTACTTTTTAGAAATATTAAATAATTTAAATTCTGTTAAAATATGGCTCATGAATTAATAAATAAACTACATGGATTAATATAAAAAATATATAACAATAATAATTCAATATGTATAATTTTATGAACTAAAATATAATATTTGAATATTAAGGATGTGCAATTAATTAAATTCAAACTAATGAAAATTCAATTGGAATTAATTAACTTATAGACAAAGAATGCAATTAATTAACTTTTGTGCTAACCTTTGTAACAGTAATTATGGCTGATGAGGAAAGCTAACCTGACCGTGACCGACAAGAGGCAGTGTGTAACATGAAATAATTATAAGCAGACACATGTGACAAGCACCAATTAAATGCAACCACGTGCCACCACACAAAACAATTCCACGTCATTATGTTTTTTCTTTTCTTTTTTCAGCCAATTCTCACCTCACAAATTCAATTCTATGTCTCATAAATTAGTCTATTTTAAATATGTATTAATATATCAAATGAAAAAGTTTAGAATTTATTTTGACATATTTAAATCCACGAGCTTATTAGATACTATAAAAGCTAGAGGCTAAAATGGTAATTTTACCTACTTTAGTTTAATTTAATTTTTTATTGTATCCACCCAATCACCACTAACGAATATTTTAATGTCTTCAATAATTAATTTTTAAAACTAATAGGAATATTTTAAAAAGTAAATAAAGTTAATCAACAAACAAACAATTCATTAAATTGACATTATTGTATTTACGTGTACATTAGTGACTCCAAATAAACTAAAAATTAAATAATCATGCCATGTCATCACACCATGCTTAACATAAGCTAATGAAAAAAAAAAACCCAAAATTCCAATATAAATATTAAGAAAATTTTAACTTTTTTTTTTAAATTATTGGTTGAAGTTTTATATTATTTTCAACTGAATTAAATTAAAAAAAAAATCATCAATTATAGCCGAATTTCTGCGTCTACGTTCTTTTAGTGGGCCCGAAAAAAATTAAGGACCAATTAAAACATGTTTTAAAGTGATTTAATTTCAAAATCTACGTTCATAATCTAATTTTACACTTTTAATTACAATTTATTTAGAATTAAAATTTGTTTTAAATAAATAATTAAACTGCTGGATTATTATGATAAAATTAATGAAATAAAAAAATTGTAAAAATAAATAAATAAAAGATGAAATGACAAAAATACCTGATGGCCGAAGCAAACCCCGAGGATTCGCTTATTCAAGGACGTCAATCTCTGCAACAGAACGATTAATTGGCAGATCCAAGGATCGTCGCCGTGAGCGTCGTTGCAACTGCCGGTGATAACAAATCCGTCGTAGTCGGCGATCTGCTCGTTGGCCGGGAAGTCGCCGGCGGCGACTCGGAAAAGGTCCCAAGCCTCTCCTTCTTCGCCTAACATTCTGACGAAAACTCCGAAATATCCGCCGTACTTCTTCTTGACGTAATCGGAATCGTCGGCGCAGAGAAGGACTGCAAATCTCTTCATCCCCATCCTCGGAAAATGGATCTGATTTCGCGCCTCCGTCGCAGATTCTCTCTCTCCGGCTTAGCGACTGTGCGGCGGACCAAAGGCCGTTTCTCTCTCTAAACTACGATTTTAGAGAGAGAAGGGGGAAGGACGGATGGGGTGTTGTTGGGTTTTTGTTATATATATCGCATTTTAGTTATTGGATCGGCACATCATATGTATGTTTATTGCGTTTCTATTATAAATTATGTGTCGAGTTTACCCTTTAATATATTTGTTAAAAAAATAATAATAAATTTAATATTTTAAAATTTAAATTTTATAACACCTTCTTTTAGTATTCAAATTAAAATTTAGTATTTGAATTAGACATTTTTTTTAAATTATTATTTTAATGATATAACCATGTCACCTACTTATCTTGAACTGGTTCTAGACTAACATATGACATTTTAGTTGTATTTAATGGTAGTCGATGGTGATTGAGGTGGCGTTTGACAACCACGGTCACTGGTGGTTGTTATTGGTGGCATTCAATAATGGCCAACATTAGTTGTATAGAGGTGAAGGTATTTTGGTCATTTTAATATCGTGTAAAAATCTAGATGAAATTCCGGGTCTCTCGACGATGCTTCCTTTCATGTTGCTGACATCTTCTTCTATTTGAAAAGTGGAGAAAAGCCATATAATTTATTAAAGTCAATAAAATCATTTTAATATAAAACTCATAGAATGGGTGGAAACGAGTTGACAATGGGACGTGGTTATACATTTGTTAATTTTTTTTTTCTTAATGGAAAATTTGGTCAATTTCTAGATCGATCGATTCTAAAATATAGCTATTTTCTAAAATACATATTAAAATAAGTGTGCAAATTTTAAGTAAATGTTTAAAAATAAATAAATAAATAAATGTTTTACACAGTAATATTTTACATTATTTTTATATGTCATGTTACTTTGAATATAGTTAATTAATTAAATGGATGTAATTATAATGAATTTTAATTAACTAGTTAATAGCCTTTTAATTACTGAGTTAGAATTATTTAAATCCGCATATTCTACATTGTAATAATTATAATTACTTACTAATGATCATTTAGTAAGTAATTATAAATCAAAATACAAATATATCATAGCCATTGCCCCTTCAAACAATATTAAACCAGAAGGATGATGACGTGTCATCATATAAGATAATGAGAGGATAGCAAGGAAAGATATTGGAAGGCTTTTTCAGGGCATTTTCCATCAATCTTGGAATGATGTGGGAAATCAAGAGGCAATTTTGCAGCAGAGACTGATGTTTCATTAAGCACTTTCTGTAGCTCTTGGTGCACAATTGCATTGCCTTCTGGTGTAAGATGCACTCCATCACTGTATTGCAAACAAAAAAGTTATCTCAATATCCAATCTCTAATCTACAAGGGCAGGTCTGTTCGTTCGGGTTCACAAGGTTGTCGCTCACATTCGCTCTGTCCTATTTGTTTGTAGTTTCATCGTAAATCATCGAGGGCTTCATTGTAACCCTAATTTCCGTCTGTTGCCACAGGAAACTCTAGTCGTTGCAAGTGGTCGATGTCATGGTCTTAGGTGCTTGTTTAACACTGGTTGAAGTTTGATTGTCTGAGACAAAGTTCATCTGTGAGATCTCACGTTGGTTGGAGAGGGGAACGAAACATTTCTTACAGGAGTGTGGAAACCTCTCCCTAACAAACGCGTTTTAAAATCGTGAGGCTGACGACGATACGTAGCAAACCAAAATGGACAATATCTACTAACGGTGGGTTTTGACTGTTACAAATGGTATTAAAGTTAGATATCGGGCGGCGTGCCAACGAGG